TTAACAAACCCTAAGCTGAGAATTCTGACAGCCTCTATATAACAGAGCCTGGCCTCCTGCTGTCACCACTGCTCTTCCTCCATCTGCTTGCAGCCTGCATAGTCTCATTCAGTCAGGTTTCAAAGGAGAGACCGAGCAGGGATCTGGCTCACCTCTCTCATTTCTGTCCTCCATGTCCCTGCTTACTTTTATTTGATCTCCTTATCCTTTCTCTGCTCTTCCTCTGTCTACCTTGTTGACTGAGCTGAGCTGTGGAGCTGAGGGTCCAGCCTGGCCTGCTGTCCTGTCTAATCTAGCCAGCAGACGTGATCAGAAGCTGGCCACATTCCACCAAACCCCCCTCCGTTCAATCTTCCTCCCTTCTTCCTTTCCATTTCTTTCTCTCTCGCCCACCCTCCCCAGCGTGGGCCTCACTCTACATTCCTCCCTCACTAATACTATTCCCGCTATCCTCTTCCCTCACTCACTTATTCCCTCTCTTGCTACCTCTTGTTGCATTCCGATCGCACTAACACTACTCCCTCTCATCTCCCCACATCTCTAATTACATGCATTGCCCAAACAAAGCCTTATACATTACTCCCTCTTTAGTACTGTTTACTGTCCCTCTCTCTTTCATCCTCCAATCTCTTATTAAGCTCAAGTTCTGCTCCTCCTCCACACATTCTTCCTTAAGATCTACAAATTCATCATCCCCTCACTCATCACAGACAGCATCCTGGGGAATACATCATGCACTGTAGAAAACCTCACATCCAGATCAAGGGTGGCTAATTTCTGTTATTTTTACAGAAAGAGCTCCTCAGGGAAATGGCATCCTTCACACCTGCCACCATATCTCTCTTCAGCATATCCTTTCTATTCAAACCCACAGTAAAAGTGCATCTCTTTAGTTGTGGTGTCCTTACTTAATCTGAAATCCTATGCTTAGTCTATCTCTCCTTTCTTCTTCTGTGAATGTCACATTCCCACTCCATGTCTGTCTCAGTGCACTTTCATTATCACTCCCTGTCAGTGCCGAGCAGATTCAGGTTCAAGTTCTTATCATATTCAGAGACTTTGCATGTTTTGCAGGCTAGGTGTACTTTCACACTGAACATATTCCATCTCTGGCTGGGTGACTCATTCACTGGTTACTAATTAAAAGGCAATCCCTGCTGGGAAACACAAATACAGTCATTTCTGTCCCTCCCTATACCTTTCCCCTTTACGTTAATGGATAAGAGTTAGGAGCTGAAACTGTGAGAGCAGTGAGCAACATCACTGAACAAACACACACCCTGGGATTGCCTGAAAGCTGCTACTGCTACATGGATGACGACCTGGACACTCTGAAAGTTGTGTGCATACAAGCACAAAAGGCGTTCTGGATGACTGATACAGACAAACATGTTGTCAAACTGAGGGAGAACTTCTTCTGTCAGCCATGTTTAAAGACAATTAAACACAAGGCTGAACGTGTGTCTCATTTTCCTGTTTCCCTGAAAAGAAGTATTTAATAATAATGCTAACTCAATATACACAGGCCAACAAAACCACTGAAATAGCACATCATTTTGTTGAGCAAGTTGCAACCCAACTATAAACTGGAGCAGTTCAAGACTGAAACATCCTGGGGCTTCTGAAAATGTAAAACAGAGCTACAATAATGAGGCATCCAGGCAGATGTACTGGCTAAAACGGTCTTACTGCAAATACACCTACATCAGTGCACAATTTGTTTTACTACTTTATAAGAGTGGTGGTATTAGGTTAATAATGTAGTACAGGCTAGGCTACACACTGAATTAAAACCACTAAGAGGTGATGTGAAACAGGCTGATTATCTTGTTGCTTATCTGGTTGGAGTGTAATGTTTCTGCTGGGAAATCTGGCATTCATAAAACTGTTAATTTGGCACATACAACCCATCTAATTATTGTGCATACCAGGCACACCTGTTTATGGCAGCAACACTCCTTGATGGCAGCTGTCTCCTCCAGCAGAACAGTGCACCATCCTACATGGCTGCACATGCTACAAAAAGCCTAAATGAAACCAAAAGCTGCACTTTGTCAGCAACCAAGACAGAAAGTGCTTACATGAGAACAACTAATAGCATTAATCACTAACTCACTCACTTTAACCCAGCTTTACCCATTATCATTTATACATAGTCTCTGAGAGAGAGAGACACACCTCTAAGTAGTTACAACTGCATGAGATATATTAATAACAAGTGAAGTCGTCAAAAAACCTCAACAAAGACAGTCTTTGCAAATGCTAGCAATCATGCTCCCAGCATGCTTTGCAGCATTAATCCACCTATGAGCAGGCCTCTTTAGGGGTGCCATGACAACCAGTAAACAGTGGACAACTCACTGCCAGCCCAACAGTCATCAACACATTGTTCACAGATGGAGGGGTGGGGGTGGAGGGTGTCAGGGAATACCCAGTGCTGCTGGGTTGTATTTGTTGTGCGTTGAAGCGATTTCAAAAATGACCAGTAGTCAAAAACAGAGGCACAAACATTTCAGCCATTTCTCAGCAGTGAACAATAAGACATTAATGGCTGAATAGCACAGAGGCAGAAAAACAACAATGTAGCCATTATTTAACAACCAGACAACAACATACAGTTGCAGCCTAGTATCCATCGAACCATCTGCACGCTGACGAGTGGATGAAACCTAAAGCGCCCAGCCTAGGGTATACACAGCCTAGATTTAGTCTCTGAGACAAATAAAATTCAGTGCCAAAAATAACCCTCATTATACGCATGAGCTCTACAGTGCACAGACTAGACACACTTTTAAAATAAACACACAAATCATCCAAATCCCTGAATGTGGAGATTGTGGGCAGTTTTTTGTTCTTTTAGCTCCAAGTTTTCTTTCCCAGTCCAAGTTCAGCAGGATTTCACTGCACTATTCCACACCAGCCTAGTTGGAACATAATTTGGCCCCCACTGCTACTTTGTCTGAAGCCTTGCTCTTATGCAATAATGACCAATCACATCACATCTGACTGAGACATTTACATAATTACTCAGTTGCAGTCTTAAAGGACACGGAAGTCTAATAGCATTCGAATTGAACTGATGACTGGACTGCTAAACTTCTGAACTGATGCAGTGAGGTACACTAAACACAAACACAACTAAACACTGTGGTAGGGATCATGACCTCATGATCCTTATGCTATTTATAACTACCTGTTCATATGAAGATTTTTCATTTGGCTGTTGGGTCACATGCAGATATGGTAACAAGATCATTAAGTTCAGTAATACTATTTATCCAAAATGGAACACAAGACATCTCATTTCAAAAAGATCGGGGTTCTAAAAGATGTAAGAAGCTTTCCAGATAAACAAGCACTGAGTGTTAAAAAGCTTCCGCATTGGCCCCAACATGGACAAGCCATTAACCTGTTATAGAGCCATCATCAGAGATGAGATCCAGTGCCTGCAGATATATGATTTAATAAATTATCTATAAGCTGCGAATTTGCTGCTTCCACACAATGCACGGCTTTATATGTTCAGACCAACTGGTGCTTAACGGTAAAGTAAGGGGGTTTCCCTGCTGACAAATCAGGAGGGAAACCAGGGTTTCAGGTCAGGGGGTCTGCAGGGGGTTATGACTGCATTAATGCGTCTGTCTTCTGTTTTTGTTCTGGCTGGGATTCCTGCCGAGGCGGTGTTTTCATGCGTTTTTCATGTGAGCAGCAGTGAGCCCAGTGTGGGGCTAGTGTCTGGAGCATGTAATTGAAACACAGTCCCATGCAGCGATACACACTGACCCCACTAATCTTCTTCTGACAAAGTGGCTTAGCTTCTATAGGGTCATATGGCACAGGCTTAAACACAACAGGCACAGGCAGACCCTGTGGTCCTCCCCACATTCAACAGGTCACATTTAGCAACTTAGTGATTAGGAATACACTCCAAAATCAAAGGAGAGGTTAAACCTTTGTACGCATACTCTGACAGAAACATGTTTATGTAATCACTATGGATACACTGATTGTGAAATTATGGGCCAACAGCAGCATTTTGTTTTCAAATCTATTTACTTTACTTTTGCTCTTGCTTATACCTCATTTACTCCATGATAACAACAAAAAAAAAAAAACCCTGACCCTTTCAGTTTTTTGTAACACAATCACTTAGCTCGTGTGAAATCTTGGAGACAGAACATATTAATGTCGACCACTGACATCAGTAAATGCCATGTTAATTGGCAATATGCCAATATCAGACACCAAGGTTGATATAGTAAGACCTGCAGTAATCATACACATGAAATAAAGGTAAGCCATACTTGAGAGCATGAATTTAGAGCAGCCACAACTTCTTCCTTTATTAGCTAAAAGATAAAAAACTTATCTACAAGGGGAACTGCAAAAGCAGAGCAATTATGGCAGAAATATTGGCAATGATTACACCAGAGCCAGCAAAGGAAGTTAGAAACTACAGCAGCAGTGTTTACAGAAACACTGCTCGAAATACTTGAAACCCGTATTTCCAAAACAGTCAGACACGTAAAAAAATAATTGCCATGCAGCTACCAAGCTGCAATACAGAACAGTCTACTGGACAAACTCAAAGTGAACTCCATTCGTCTACTCTTGTTGTTTTGCTCAGCTCCTCATTTCAAGTGCATTCTTCCTCTCAACTTTTGTTGTGATTTGGCGCTATATAAATAAAATTGAATTGAAAAGGCCCCTAACCTTAGTTAACTAGAAATCAATAAGGAAAAAAATAGAGGCCAGCGGTTTAGTAGTTTGTTTAGCTGAACATGGAAACATACAACAAGTAGCCTAAAAACTGACAATGTAAAGTGACACTTAAGTTTTTATAACTCTGTCACAGCTATAGTCAATAGCCTATCACATATTTCTAAGCTGTGCTTTTCAATGCTAATGACTGTATTTGCATTTCCAATGCAAAGCAGGTGTAACCAAGCAAACAAATGAAAACTTGGGACACTTTGTCCAAACACTTCCTCTGTGCATACCTTTCCTCTGGAGGAACAGCCTGAGTAGAGGGTTGGCTGTGGAGATGGCCTTGTGGTAATTGTCGTCATTGTTGATGGGCAGTAGGTCACCGTGCACGTCAGCGTAGCCCACCAACAGCTCCACATTGGGGATGCGATGCACGTGCTGCAGGAGACCGTAGAACTCATCGAAGCGGCCTGGCTTGGACCGTTCCAGAGAGAACCGACGAAACTCTGCACCAAACTGGGATGGGGCAGAAAGGCGTTCACATGTGATTGCAAATGAACACACAAATACACACACAGGTGTGACGTATGGCCGAAACCAGGGTATGAAACAGTGCCTGATAAGCCTACTTTGTACTGATGCGTAAGCCAAAGCACACCACGTGTGGTAAATTATTCACGTGTTTTGTGTATCTCTAGGTTTGCAGATAAAGCTTTTATCAAGCTACCTCACAGAATATTTATCCTGCAGCTATTACAAAGACAGTGTGCTTTCAGCAATCCCCACAAACATGTTGCTGGTTTACCTGTTTAAGCCTGTGGACTGACTGGATCAATGGCTCTGGACGCCTAATCTTTAGGCAGCTCTGTAGCTGAGATAGAGCACAATGCCTCATTGGTAGCGTTAGTGAGAGGTACCAGCTGTTGTGGTTACTGTTGCTCAGCGCTGACAAAAGATGATCTCCCAGCTTAATCAGTTATTTTATGCATCAGTGCAAAGCAGAGTTAATTTAATAAGTGGTTGGGGACATAAGGAAGACAATCTTAACTCAGAAGAGTCAAAAGAATTTAAATAACCCGGGATAGCTGAGTAAATAATAACAATAGTTATTGCACTACTGTAGGGAGGCAAAATTAGTGCTGTAGCTGAAAATATTTGACAGCTTGTGTCGACGCGTGCAAAAACTTCTAGAACAATATAGTCATTATTCATTACACTTATGTGTGGTCAAGCCTCAGCAGGGCGCGGATGGAGCCACGAGCCTGACGCAGGCCGTGTGACACCTGTAACCGCAGGCAAATAACGCGACAGGCAACGACTATCACCTTTAACCGAGGTAATTTGACATAAACTTTTGGTAATTTGAGTAAACTTTTCACGCAGATTTGATTAAGTTAAAGAGTTGGGTCAAACTTGAAGTCAGTACTCGGTAAACGAGCAGGAGAGTACGGCGGAGAAGGCTGTGACAGGTGACACTGGCTCACTGCGCAGTCAGCTGACAAAAACCTTCCACCTTGTCACAAACTAGCTAGCCTTTAGACGTAAAACGACCAAAAAACTACGCCACGGTTACCAATAAAGTTTTAAGAATTGTAACCAAATTCTCGGGTGGTCACAGTGGAAAAAAACCAAAACTGTTAGCTCCTCTTAAAGTTTATAAGCCTTGCTTCATAATAACCCGCTATCAAGCCTCTTTAGCAGGCTAAATTAGCAAGAGTGGATTTAATGAGGACGAAGGTTGTCTGGAGTACAAACACTGGAAGGATACCTGACAAATAAGTGTCCGTACCCACCTTGCTCTTCACCTCCACTGCATTCAGAGAACGGCTGCTCGGCACTCGGTGGTTTTTGTTCATGTTTCTCTAGCAGCGGGAACGCCGCCAAAGCACTCACACTCTCTCCCTGCTCCTGCCGCCGCCGCTGCCAACGTCTATCCACAAACCCCGTGTGTCCACCAGTTGTTTTTAAAGGTTTAGTTTAGGTTTTTTTAGTCGCACAGGCTACACCGCGTCTTCTCGACGTCCGCCGGTACAAGTGGTCCCTCCACAGAATGCGACAGAGGCTGTCAATCAGCCAGCTTCAGCTCGTAAACTTGTCTCCTCTCATACTTGCCGCTGACACCGTAGCTACAGCCCCACACCGTACCGTCTCTGGCTTACCTCTGCCTGCGACTCTCTCTCCCTGCCCGTGCCCGGAGAGCCGGAGATACGGAACTTCAAAATAAAAGGCATGGTTTCTATAATACTCTGTGGCTTCAAAATAAGAGCACCTTCCACCTCACCAGGAATAGCCCACTCTGTCCTGGCACGGTGTGCCAACCATGCTCCAAATAGCTCGAACAATAATGAACAGTAATGCCTCATTTTTTGTTTTTAATGTCATTCATAAACAAAATACCCATTTTACGTGGTTTTTTGCCATCATGTTAACTGAAGCACTGATGTTGCACTTTCTCACTCTATTAACGTAATGATGACCATATCTCTAAAAACCCTAAATTAAAATCGTGTGCATTAATCATTTAAACAGTTATACTATACTCGGTAAAAACTAATAGATAGTGTGTAACAGAGATTTTATGATAGTTGAATGAAGTGTTACCTGCGTATGTAAAATTAGTATGGGTACAAAAAATAAACTGTAGTTCCTGCCACTGGCTTGTGATTGTTTTAATTTTATAGTGACATCTTATGGCCAAAAGCAATATGTACCTGCTGCAGCTGCTGGCTACCTGCCCGGTAAATGCAAATACATGCCTGGTATGTTTCGGGTCCGTTTTGACCCAGACCAAGAATTCCATCATAATAAATGTCTACAAGGTTTTGTTGTTGTAGACATATTAATTTACAATGTATAAACAGCCCATCTGACGTTATTACATGGCTTAGTGATGCTTAATTATTGTTTCCGAGACAAAGCATAGCTTTTACATTATACAACATTCATCTTTGGAGAAGGACATCTATTATCACGCAATGCCATCACCCTTTTTCTTTTTTTTTACATAAGACATAAAAACGTATTAGAAATAAATATTTAATTGAAAGTGAAACTGGCATTCTGGAACTTTTGGAATTTATTGTATAAACAGTTAAAGAACTATTTTAGCTGAATACAGCAAAATGATTCTTAGCAGGATTATTATCAGTGAGTGAAAACGACTAAAGTATTCCTTTAAAGTTACTTTACAGAGTAACATTTTGACTATGAATAAAATCCTAAAATCCATCTCTATTTCAAAACAAACAAACAAACAAACAAAAAAGCAACAACAACTTTAGAAGTCACATGTACTTGATCAAATAACAAGAAAAAATGCCTCCCTCTGCTATTCTGCTTTCAGCTAAAAGCACTCACTTTAGTTCAGAAAATTAAAAAAATGATAACTTGCACAGTTGTACTAAGCATATAACAAACTTGCATCTCGACGTTTGCTCCTATATTACATGTAGACACTAGAGGGAGACAGAGACTGCGAAGGGAGATGCATGTCCTTGTTTTTAAAACTACAAATGTCTCGATTTGAAGCTGAAATATACACATATTTGACTAAGTGGAAAAAGCAGCAATGATTTATCGTCCTCCGAAAGACACAAAACACAACTTTTTTTTTCAAGGCTTATATGTGTGTAAGAAATAGTTGGAGTTCCTCCTTCTGTATAATACCTGCTTCATGTAGGTAAAGGATTCTTCACATGACTGGAAAACAGAAGGCAAATACAGGGTAGCTTGTGTTGATACAGTCATGTGCTTTTCAGTACAGATGGTGTTCCACTAAAAACAACAAAAAATTGTAAATCAAAATTATTGAAACATGGGTTTTCTTCTTTTACACACTTGTAACCTCATTGGACCCATCATAGGTTTAACCATATACATATTCCCACACAACAGAGAGCAGCTACCTAAGTTTTACTCCCACATTGTCTGTATATCTTGTTAGTAGTGCTGCAGCCTCATTTTGCCTTAATTCTTTGTGTCTTTGGTTCAAAAAGGTCCAGAAAAATTCCTCAGAGATATTGGTCCACATTAAACTCAGCACATCCCAGTTTAATGTGGTCTATTGGACTGGGAACTGGTGACTGCCGAGGCCATTTGAGTACAGTGAACTCACTGCCAGGTTCAACAAGCCAGTTTGATATGACTTAAACTTTGTGATGTGGACCACTATCCTTCTGGAACCAGTCACCAGAAGATGGGTACACTGTGGTCGTGAAGGGATGGTCATCAACAACCCTCAGTGAGGCTGTGGTATTTAAACAATGCTCAGTTAGCAGACTGACTGATCCACATCACGATGGATCCATGCTTTCGTGTCATTTACACCACATTTGTGATCCTATCATCTGAACCTTTCACCAGAAATCATGGTTCATTAGACCAGATAATGTTTGTTTTTTAACAATGAAAACATGCAAACTGTAGCCTCCATTACCTGTTCTTAGCTTACATGAGTTTGTGGTCTTTTGCTGCAATAGTCCAGAAAGGTCCAATGTGTTGTGCATTCATAGATGCTCTTCTGCAAACTTTGGTTGTAACAAGTGGTTATATTTAAGTTCTTATCTCCTTCCTACCACCTTGAAATAGTGCTGTGCTGTGTCTTGGGTCTCAAAGAGACCATTTAGGTTATTTAAATGTATTCCTAGCCACTGAGTCACACTGTATTACTGAAATACTGTGTGGCTACATGTGTTCTGATGACCTGGTTTGACCTCTGATGTTTTAGCACCAAAAAGATTGAAAACGGGATGAAGCCATGAGCAGGTTACAAGACTAATAACAGTCCTTTGTGCTTCCTTCTTGTAGAGGGTCTGTCTGTGTAACAAGAAGATGTGATAGAGGATGATGGAAGTGAAAAGAGAGAGAGAACATAATGGAGGTTACCCTGAGGGTGATGAGGAGAATGAGAGGGTAAAGTAATTGTAGGCTTCAATCTGATGACAAATGTGGAGAGAAGTCTTCTCACTTCTGAGCATATTGTAGATGTCACGGTCCCTGATTTTCTTGGACTTTGAGAATCAAAGAATGAACATCTAAAAATAACTGATTCATTTTTTTAAAAAAAGGTTATTCCTTGATTTTTATTTATGCAGAGCTTTTAAGTGTTAGTTCCAGTTTGCATTTTCCCCTCATTGTTCCCTCTCACCCTCCTGTCAGTTCCCTCTAAGTTTTGTCATGTATCTGTATAACCCTGTTTTGGTTTGTTTTTTTTAATAGTTGCTTAACTTTAGTGTTTTGTGTTTAATTTGACTTCCTGCCCCCTATCTTATTGTCTATGATTATTTTCACCTGTGTCCTGCTACCCTCCAGCTCCAATTCCCTGATTATCTTTTCATAAGTTTCGCACATAAACACCGCTGTCTTCTCCTCAGCCCTTGTGTGTCTGTTCACCTCCCATCTGTGTTTTGTGTTAGTTTATTTTCCCAGTGGAATTTTACCAGCCATAACAAAGGCTTATTTTAATTATTACATTCTGCCTCTATATGTCTGTATGTGGGTTGTCAGTCCTGCAGTTCATGACAGTAAAAAGTTCACTTCTGGCTACGTTAAGGACCATTACAGATTGTTGTACATGCTCAATTATTTGTTTGAGAGAGATGCATGGCTGAATATGAATAAAAATAGAGAGCATATGAAGACCAGAGCCCAGGGTTGTGCTACACTCCTGATTATCATGACTGTTTTGCAAGTCACACAAAACATTTTCTCTTATAGGTGAAAATATATTTTTAAAGACAATCAAGATCCTGCATAAATACAACTACTACAGACAAATATGATGTCAGGTACTTTTTTTTTCCTTCTTTTTTTGTTGCTGTTGCTATTGGTAAGAACAAGATTACTGACAAGAAGTAGAAAGCATTCTTACCTGTTATATTGTCATATCATATTAGCTGATATTAGCATAGCTATTAGGTCAAAATATCTCGTTTTTAGCCAATAAACAGTAAATGATGTAACACTTTGATGGGTCCAACAAGGTGCAGGAAGTTACTATTCTGCTATCTTTGAAGAGACAAGAGGAATACTAAATACTAAATACTAAATATTAAAATATTATACTAAATATGGGGCAGGGATAGCTCAGTAGGTAAAGTGGTCGCCCCATGATCGGAAGGTCGGCGGTTCGAATCCACTTAACGGCTACCCTGAGGTACCCCTGAGCAAGGTACCGTCCCTACACACTGCTCCCCAGGCGCCTGCTTAGTGGGCTGCCCACTGCTTCACTGAGTGAATGGGTCAAATGCAGAGAAAAACAAGTAATTTCCCCATGGGGATCAATAAAGTATCCATTATTATTATTATTATTATTATTATTATTAAATAATATTTCTCTGTTTTTTGGAAAGTAGTCTCAACAGCGACATCTGCAGGCTATGAGGGGACAGGTCAACCCGTGTGCGTGTTGGGACAGAGAGGAGGACAGCAGGAGTTTCACTGCCTGACCCATCGTACACCTGCTGATACCAGTTCAACATTGACTTTATTGTTGGAGATCAGGAGGAATGAGCAACCAGGGAATCACTCCCTGTTAGGGTTTTAGCTCTGACCTGCTAAAAAGGTCAAACCAAGAAGAGATCAGTTAAATTACTGCTAAACAAAGAGAAAAGCAATTCAGAATTTACTGTTAACTGTAAAGAATAAAAAAAAAAAAATCAACGTGTATTTCAGCCACTGTTTATTTCTGCAAACTGGACAGGTATGGTGCAGAGGCAGTCAGCAAACAAACTGTCCATAATGGACAATCCTGGCCACCCTCTGCACCTATACTGGACAGTTAGTGCTGCACTTTCTCTAACTGACTGACTGCAACAAGGACAGATACAGGAAAATTTCTATACCTTGTGCAATAACTCTCTACATTGCAACCCATAACATAGAATCTGTTATTTCATCTCGTAATGCCTTTGACGCCTACAGTATCATATTTGACACATACAGTTGTTTGTGAGGTTTTGACGCTTCAGTAGAGTCAATACTGATATTTCTGGCTTTCCAAACAAGTGGGGAAATGAGGGGTGGCTCAGATCTTTTGCACAGTACTGGGCTTATTGTATTTTACTGTATTTGTTTTGGTTTGGATTAGTTTTACCTTATTGAGTTATTTATTTGGTTAACGTTTAGTTCAAATTAATAGTTAAAAATGTAAATAAAACAGAACACACTGATTTACAGTAATA